CTGTAAAACAAACTGTCAGTCATATGCAGAGAAATTTGTATAACCCATTTCCATCCGAAGTTTGTGCTAATGATGTTGTTCAGTAGAACAACCAAAGCTCCATGATTAAATGACTGATCTCAAGGAACAAAACTGTAGGAAAGAGGTGCAATATGGAGAAAGACTTCCTAGCCTACTCAATTTTATCAAGTGTGACATAATATTTATATCCGGAAAGATAAAAGAAAGTTACAGACAGGCAACGAAGTCATTTACTTCTAATTTGAGCCATGTTGGTTGATCCAGACTACTTGGTTGGGATGCGGGCCGCGCGACCATCTTAACCAGTCGTTGGAGACACTGGGTGAAACGGCTCAGAATCGATCACAATGGCTTAGGTGTATAAACTCTTTGTCTTCCCTTAAACTGTGAGATTAAAATTGGTTCATACCTTTCTTTCTACTAACTAATTCTTTCTTCCTGTACTATATCCTTATATATAATCTTCCCTTTATATATTACTACTATTTAAGTAACTACCTTTATGAACTCAGTGTTCATTTTGTTGTGCTAATGAGGTATTTTTTAGTAAACGGAATACACCCATTAAGACATTAAATAGAAAAGATTAGTTCAGTGAAGAGTTCTCTTTTTGGCGAATTCATTTTCAAAGTTGTACAATCGCAAATATATATACTTATTTTTACAGGATGATAATAATACTGATAATAAACTTCTGTTGTACGTGGTGACAGTGAGGTTAAATAAACAAAGGTATTATTCTCCAGCCGTCCATTGTTCACCAGTAACCTGAAAGATAAATAATCGCACCTGGCCATCCAAATGTGTAGTTATCAATTTACGTGCTCTTGTGGATCTAGGTATATAAATCGTTCGGTGCGTAATTTATCCAAAAGAATTCAAAAACATTGTCCGGCGTGGCTAAAAAGTGGAGGCAACGGCCCTGTAAGAAGTTCTATAATCGAACACCTTGTGAACACAGATCACTCAATCAAGATAGACTCTGCGTTCAAGGTCGTCTACAAGGTAAGTAGAAGTATTCCTAAGACAATAAGTCTGTATTTTCTTTGCATTGCCGAAGCAATATCCATACATCTGGAAAAACCAGAATTGTGTGTGCAAAAGAATCTGGTACAACCTATTCTTCTACCATGGTATTAATGTAGCAAACTCTTTCTTTCTTTTTCATACTCTTGCTCCTTTATAGCCATCTGCTTCAACTTCCATCTTCCCCTTAAATCTTCTACCCCCAACTGGTTTGTTTTTATTTCCACGATCATTCCGATTACAGTTTTTTTATTATTATTAGCTTTATTCAATATTATATTTTAGGTACAATATAGAATTCTCAGCGCAAAGTATTTCAACAAGTTTCCGTTTCTTTCTTCTTAGTCGGTCCTGGCGATAAATATTGAGGAATCGCCAGTTAGATGTTAGCACTTCAGTTAATGAACAACTGAATAATGTACATTCTTTTCGTCGTACATTGCCAGCAACCATATTGTCTCTTATTGAGTTTTCTGTAACTTTGACAACGAAAGGTTGTACACTTTTCAGAAACGCAGCAGAATAGGTTATGCGATTAATAAACATAATGATATATTAAAACAAAACAACAATAGAAAACTTGTTGAAATATCTAGATGGCAGGAACAGGTAGCCCAGATGCTCAAGCAGGCCGCCCTATTTCAACATTTTATCTTATCATGCTGAGCCATCCTTTCCCAATAATAATTTCCTTATCTATCTTTTGATGAATACTTAAGCCATTAACAATCAAACGATTATTAAACCTTCCGTGTTTTAAATTTTTTTAATTTTAATACCTTTGTTTATTTAACCTCACTGTCACCATGTATATCATAAGTTTATTATCAGTATTATTATCATCCTGTTAAACACAAGCATATATATATGCGATTGTACAACTTTGAAAATGAATTCGCCAAAAAGAGAACTCTTCGCTGACCTAATCTTTCCTATTTAATGAGGTATGGCAACTTGGACGTATGTATATATGTGCCTGGTCCTATGTTGTAGCTGACTGACCGTTTGTGTGAAAATATGAAAAGATTAAACACGTCAATGTGATTTGTAATTCAATGATAACTACACAATAGATTATATAAACAAACATAATAAATGAAAATGTGCACATCGCTAGTTGAATGACAGGTGTACTAGCTCACAATTGATTGATCACTGGGTGGTGATGAATGTCATGTGTGTCATGCCCTTATCTAGAGCAAATCGAATGCCATCGACCATGTTGCAGGTACAGCTTGCTGACGAGTGCCAAATAGCGTGAAATCCGGGTTCAGGGTTTCCTGCCGACTACCTCTAACCACCATCTAATCTCAGGTGTACTAGCTGTGATAGTGATAATAACAGGTTGAATCAATGTTTCTTAAATGGTAAAAGATTAAGGACAATGGGAAAAATTTTTTTTGGTGGAGTTTTGTTCTCTGAACTGGATGGTTTGGTCGCAGAGCTTTCATCGTTCTTCTGAACGACATCATCAGCACAAACTTCAGATAGAAGTGAAGTGTTTGAATTTCTCCATATGTGTCTCAAAGCTTGTTCTGTGCACCTCGACGTTGATTGCTTCTTATTGACTTTAAATTTGTCGTTGTTTACTTCTTTGTTTTGGTTGTGTCTCCCATTGTTTTGATTTTCGTTCTTATGTTTGTGCATGATTTTTCTGATTGGTTGATAAATTGGATTGATTTCAATATGCTTGTTGATTGCTAATTGACCTGCGTGCCAGGCTTCTAAAAATTCTCTGGTGTTTTTGGAGTTTCCTCTGTCTAAGATTTCCACATTTTTCCAATCGAATGAGTGTCCGCAGTTGTCCACGTGTATTGATATAAGTGAAGAGATATCATGCCGTTTGACTGCTAATTGATGTTCATGTAGGCGAAGGTGGAGGGGGCGTCCGCTTTGTCCGATGTCGTGTTTTTCGCAGTTGGCACAATTTATTTTGTAGATGATGTTTGATTTGTTTTCCTTTGTTATTTCATCTTTTGGTTTGCATAAGATTGATTGTAGTGATTTTGTCGGTTTGTGTGCCACACCTATTCCGAAGGTTTTCAGCAGTCTCGTCGCGGTTTCTGATATTCCTTGTATATATGGTAGGGTGATCCTTTTGTTGATTTTTGTGCTTGACTTGAGTTCTAATGCTGTGTGCGGTTGGTATGTTTTTATGAAGTTGATGGGGTAGCCGTTCTTCTGAAATACATCCTTTAGGTATTTCTCTTCATTTCTTCGTGCTGCCAGTGTGCCGCAGTGTGTCCTCGCCCTCTTGAACAAATTGTGTACTCAGTTGATTTTGTGAGCTCTGGGGTTGTTGCTATTGTAGTTGAGAATTTGATCCGTATGGGTCGGTTTCCTATATACTTGAGTTTCCAGTTTTCCTGTGTTGGTTCTAGTGATCAATATATCCAAGAATGCTAGTTGGTTGTTTGACTCCTGTTCCATGGTGAACTTGATGTCATCGAAGACGTTGTTGGTCAGGTTGTAAGTATTTTCTAGTTCATTCTTTTTGACGATGACGAAGGTGTCGTCTACGTAGCGAATCCAAATTTTTGGTTTGATCACTGGTAATATAGCGGCTTCTAGTCTTTGCATCACTGCCTCTGCGATCAATCCTGATATTGGTGATCCCATTGGTGTCCCTTTTGTTTGTTCGTAGATTTTGTTGTTGAATTGAAAGTAAGTTGTTAGGCATAAATTGATGAGTTCCTGTAGACTTTGAATTTGGAGCTTCGTGTATTTAGTGAGGTTTGTGTCGTTGTTGAGTAGCAGGGATATAGTTTCTTTTGCTAATTTTGGTTCAATTGAGTTGAATAGTGCTGTCACGTCTAAGGATATCATCAGTTCGTCGTTGTTGATTTGGATTTCCTTAATTTGGTCCAGGAATTGTGTAGGGGATTTGATTGAGTGGTTGGCTGAATCTACTAACTGTCTCAGTATTCTTGAAATTTCTTTTGACGTTGGTGTTCCGAGGAGTGCTACAATTGGACGTAGTGGGATGTTTCGTTCCGTCAAAAAATTAGACAACCAAGTCTCAAAGAACTTAAACAAGCTAGTCAAAGCAGGAGAAATAACAAAACAAGAACAATGGAGAATGAAATCCAACGGACCATTACTTCCTCGATTCTACAGCAGACCGAAAATACACAAACCAAACATGTATTTTTCAATAACAATCATTCATACATTCTAATTAGAGTCAGATCTTGAGCCACTAAGAATTGATTGTCTTCAAATGAGGCTAGTGAAATAAGAATCATAACATAACTAGATCTTACTATCCAATTTCATCATATGCATCTTCATGAAATTCACCATGAAATCACAGAAACTATTTAGTATTATTGAAAACATTTTCTCTTCGATCCCTTACAGTCTTGATAACAATTATCTAAAATATGTCTTATGGAATAAACACTGTTTACTGACATTTCTAAGGTTGTAAATGACTGTATCAATAAATTTACACCAAAACAATTACCGATTGAAAACTAAAGAATATTTATGATCAATTCAAGAGTTATGATTAACAGTAAGATGAAGACATTCAAACATTACTAGAAAGCTACCAGTCATGATGAAGTACAATCTCAGGATCAATCAAACTTGCGTTCGTTTAATAATAATTCCTATTCTCGTGTAAATATGAAGGATGGTCCAATAAGGAATTACAAAGTAAATCACAAAGGTGTAATCAAGTTTGGTAAATGTTTATCCTGTGACAAATTTCATTCTCGTAATTCATGTGCATTTCATAATGCTAAATGTTTTAAATGTGGTAAGATAGGACACACTCTTATTGTTACGCTACTGAAGTCGGATGGCGAGACCCCTAGAGCACACATACTACACGAACAAATCTGGTCAGAACAGAGATTCGTTTTAGCCAACAGTCACTTAATCACATCTGTTAAACACCCCTTTTCGAATCAAAACTAGTGACCAAGAAAATTCGAAAGCAAAGCAAATAGTGCTAAACACTACAATTTATTAAAAAGCGTTTATTATGGAAATTCTGATTAAAAGAGTAAATCGGATAACAAACACTCAGTTCTTCTCTTTTTGTGAGGTCGTTTCAGAAGGAACCAGCTTTTGCATAAGCTAAAATGATACGAGAAAACAAAAGTTTGGAGTGATATTCGCCGTAGCGATCTGAGGTTTATACATCAAAGCATTGTTTTTTCATCAATAATGTAGTTTTTATTCATCTGATAATTATGTGCTGAAACGTGGCCCTTAAGTGTAGGGGATATTCGTAGGTTTCTGATATCTCTACTAAGCATTGCTTGTGTATATTTTGACCACAGAGTAGACAATCTCTGGGTTAGGAATGGAGTACTAGGTAAAGATGGGAAATCGATTGGTGAGCCAGTAAATCGTCATCAACTGTAGTGGTTGGACATGTGTTACCTATGCCCAACCGCCGCCTATCTCGATCAGGGATGTTTTCTGGTGTAAGAGTAGGCTGGAAGGAATCTAGGGTCGGACTTAGTCATATTAATAGATGTAGACTAACTGATTATGCTCCACGTGGTTATCGCAACCAATGGTAAGGGACTTTGAGTGACATGGCTGAAAATCGTTTACAATCGCGCATGTGCACCCACTCATAGTGTTTCCTCAAATTATGAGATAATCAGTTTCTAATAACTTGGTTTTTTGTTTTTATTTAATTAATTGGTATTTTCTTTTGGAGTCGCATCTTAGGTGCCTAATCTTTCCTATTAGTACTAATACTTCCACTATCTCTACTATTCTGGGATTCGGTTTGACAACTTAATCTCCTTGTGCCCATGGGGTGTACATACGTACAAGTTATACGTTGTGACTGACCATATAGTGAAACGGAATTTCGAAAAATGATCCGTTATTTTACTATTATAGAGCCCTATGCATCATACAACGATTTGTAGATGCTCACTCGTATCATTAAAGTGATTTAGACTATTATATCTAGTGCCTGTATATTTTGACAGAATATGCAATCAAAGTAATCATTCTATTAAAAGCATAATTCACTGAAGAAAACAGAAGAATAGTGTGTGAAAATAATGAAATATGTTGAACAATCATTGTGATTGATATGGAGATTCATTCAGAAGTAGCAAAAAGTCAGTCGATGGCAATCAGACCTGTTAAAATACTTGAAGATGATTTGGTTTCATATGCAGCATTTGTTAATCAACAGTGTGAGAGTATTAATTTGTGTTCACTTTCTGACGAACAATTTAATTGTCTTATCTTTGTTGAGGGTTGAAATCATTGTAATCATTCGTAATAGAATTCTAGGCAGAGTTAAGTCCGATCCCAATATAACGTCGAACGATGTCACAAATGAATGATATCATGTTCATACTAAAATGATCGAATGTCCAAATCCAAATCAATTTGATTTGATGAAAATTTTTCGTTCAGACCGCACGATTAATGTTGGAAAGCATGGTTCGCAAAATGTTCCTCACCCGAATTGAATGTATGATGTTTATGACTTGAATTCACGTTACTCTACATGGCCCTCCGCTATTTGTTTGAAGTGTGGTGCATGGCATTTTTCCCATTTCTGCCCATGCAATGAGTATAAATACTCAAAATTTGGAAATTTCGCTAACGCAGTAAACCCTCATCCCATCATCGAATGCCAGAAACGATCAATTGTGTTCGTGTATTGTCAAAATCTGACCCCCAATGTTAACGCAAGTGTTTATCGATTTGTCGTAACGACTGTATTATCACTTTACAATTAGACACTGCATCCGATGTAACATTGATTTCCTGCAAAGCATAAGAACAAACTTGGTCGGCCAAGCATTCACATTAATAACGATTGCACAAACAATGCACCTGGTATCGTAATCAAAATTTCTGAAATTATTAAGTTTACAGCCAAATTCAATATCCCAACAACCAAATCCAAATGATGTGTTACTGATTAATACTTCAATCTATTGGGTCTTGACGGCATCACAGAATTAAAAATGTTCGATTATCCATTTAATTTTATTTGTGATCCTGATTCAGAAATGCTCGATTAGTCATCCAATCTTATTTTCAACCAAGTATCTTCCTATCCTCATTCATATGATGCACAAATGGAGACAGAAATTTTCCAACGATTTTCAAGATTATCAAGAGAGAAGGGCACGACCGAGAAATTCTCCAGTAATAACCCTGAATTCAGCCTCACATAAGGGTGTCTCCCCTGCTGAGCCAATGTTCGGAAGGAAGATTCGGACTTCATTCGATAGCTCACACATTTACGAAGAAGAAGAGGGCGAGATTATAAACTCAAGGCGAAGAGAATTGAACGTCAATTTGCTAAAGGGTGACATGTAAACCACACCCGTGACAGACGATCAAATTCAGATAAACGAGTTCTTAGCTCAGACTTCAAACTAAATTATTTCATTGATACAGTCAGTTTGGAGCATCGGGATCAGTGTGGAAGGAGTGATGGATAGTAAACCAGAGCGACCAGTCAAGAAAAAATAAGGCAATTCACTCACTGAGATTGGAGAACAGAGGAACAGGCGGGTAGAACACTAAAGAAATCTTGAATGGACCGGCCCCCTTGAATCCACCGGATGGTCCGCGTGACTATCGTAACTAACGGTTGGAGATTCTTCGTGACATGGATCAGAATCGATCACAATGGGGTCGGTGTATACACTCTTTGTCTTTCCTTAAACTAAGAGAATAAAATCGCTTCATATCTTTCTACGAACTAACTCTTTCTTCCTGTATTATATCCTTATATGCAATCTTTGTTTCATGTATTACCCCAACTGAATTAACTACTTTATGAATCCGGTGTTCATCTTGTTGTGTTAATAAGGTATGGCAACTTGGACCGATGCATATATGTGCCTGGTCCTACGTTGTAGCTGATTGACTGACCGAATCCACTGAACATAAAAGCATCACACACAGACCCTCTTACAGATGTTACTCCACCAATGACGGAAGGGGTCGGGGTGGCCGTCAGACAAACCAAGAGTGGGAAAGCAGTAGGACCTTGCAATATACCAGAAGAAGCACTCAAGTGAAACAAAGAAGTAAGTGCAAACATGCTCCACATTCTATTCAGGAAGATTTTGGAGGAAGAATAACTGCCACCGACAGAATGGAAAGTAGGAAAACTCATCAAGATATTGATAGGAGGAGTTCTAAGAAAATGTGAGAACTACAGAGGTATCACAATACTGCCAATATCAGGAAAGGTTTTCTACAGAGTATTATTGAACTAGATGAAACATTCAGCAGACGCCTAACTTCTAGATCAACAGGCCGGATTCCGTAAGTATCAGTCATACATGAACCAAATCGTGACACTACGGATCATCGTTGAACAACCACCTGAGTGGAGTTCGTCACTATACATTGACTTCCTTGATTTTGAGAAGGCGTTTGAGAGTGCGGAACCATATGTATTTTCTGTCAACGGTGATTTGCTTGCATATGTTCTCAATCAGTCAGTCAGTAACAACGCAGAACTTCGAACGTACGTACATCGGTTCAAGTTGTCATACCACATTAGCATACAGATACAATTGTCAATTCAGATCCCATAGTGGTAGTGGTAGTAGGAATATAAGCAGTAATCGAAAACATTAGGGTTTGAAGATGTTATCAAAGAGTATAATCCAGTGAAATCAATTTGGAAAGAGAAAGAAAGGGACATAAAGAATTCAGAAGATCAGAATTTGGGAGAGCATAAAGAGTGTAGGCCATGTTTTACTGCCATAAATTAGGACGCAACAAACTGCTGCGCAGTAAACACGTCCCTTGGTTGGCAAACGGATATCTCGTCTATGCCAAAAATGATGCAAGTTGACAGACGCTAGTCGGGGCTTCTGTATCCGTGCCGAGACTTCGTCAAACACCAGACCACAAGGGCTAATGAGACTCCCAAGATAAGTGAAGTGGTCGACACGCTCAATTACTTCACTCCCTATCATTAGTTCGGGTGTCAATGCAACCCAATCCTGAAGCAAGATTTTGCATTTCGACGGGGAGAATCGCATCTCGAACATGCTTGCCTTGTTGCTTAGATTGGTCAGAAGACTCTGCATTTTGTCAGCGTCTTCACCAAATAGAACTATGTCATCAGCATATTCTAAGTCAACAAGTGAACCTCCCGGTAGATGTTCAACCCCTGTAAAGTCAGATGAGGAGAGTGTTATCTCTAAAAGTACGTCGACCACAAAGTTGAACAAGAATGGGGAAAGTGGACAGCCCTGACAAACACCACTTGAGGTAATCAATTCTGATGACAGTTTGCCATAAGCTCTCACTCTACCAGCTGTGTTCGATTAGAGAACCTGTATAAGGTTAATGTACTTCTTTGGTACTCCTTTCAGTGACAAACACCGCCATAGAACCTTACGATCAACAGTCGAATACTGCCTTAGGGTCGAGAAATACTACCATTGTGGGGCGTCTGAATGTGTGTCTATGTCCCAGGACCTGACGTAGTGTGAATATCTGATCTATACAACCACGTTCAGGTCGAAAACCAGCCTGGTTTCCTCTAGTCTGCTCTTCACGAGCTTTAGTTAGGCGTCGAAGTATTATTGAGGCTAATATTTTAGACACTATATTAGTCAAACTGATTTCTCTGTGATTGTCACAAGAGGACTTTTGTCCTTTTTTATAGACTGGCACAATCAGTGATTGAGACCAGTCAGATGGGATTACGTCCAGTTCACAAATCCTACGTAAGACCTAAGTCAATCTCACTCTTAACACTGGACCACCATCCTTAAAAATCTCAGGAGTAAACCTGTCAGGGCCTGCTGCTCTCCCTCGTTTCAGATTTCCTATGGCTTTTTCACCTTCGTAAAGAGACGGAGGACCTACATTAACTTGCCATTCAGGTTGACTGGAGATCGTGGGAAACCAAAGTGTGGCTGAAGGCCAATTGAACTGATCCCTAAAGTGTTCTGCCCATCGATCCAATCTCCAGGATTGAGAATGAATAATATGTCCATCTTTCTCTGAGATTGTTTCGCTAACGGTCGGGTTCCTAATTCCGGTTTCCTTAACGAGTCTGAACAATTGTCGGCTATTACCTATTGCCGCTGCCTTTTCTATCTCTCTTGCTTTCGCTACCCACCACTGTTCGCGATCATTGCGTAGACTTCTTGTCAGCTTGCGCTTAAGCTGACTCCGCTCTTCATTATGTTCAGAGCCAGGTGGAATGAGTTTCCGAGCATTTATCAGTGAGATAGATGCTTCTGAGATCCAGTGTTGCTCCCTAACCTTCTGGTTTACCTTACTAGCAGATATCACTGCTGTTTCCACAGCTTTTCGGATATCATTCCATGCTGCATCGGGGTGGGCATCACATACATGGCTGCCTAACTGTTTTCCTAGTTGTTCCTGAAATATACTCTTAGCTTGACTATCATTAAGTAGGCCCCTAATAGGTTTCCTTGCAGCGTCTTTCCTACGTCCAGTAAGACGCAGACAGATACGCGCTCGTACTAGAGCATGATCTGAATCTAAGCATGTGCTCCAGAATGAGCGACAGTCTTCTATCGAGCCCCTCCATCGGTGGCTGATAGCGATGTGATCTATTTGGGTCCAACGTTGGGACGAATTAGGGGGTCGCCATGTTGAAAGATGTTTTTCTTTATGCTTAAAGTTAGTATTTGCAAGGAACAGGCGGTTATCTGAGAATAGCTGCAACAGACGATCGCCATTATCTGTTCTTTGACCAACGACACCATAAGATCCACCTAGGTGTCTTTCCCTATCGCTTAGTTTACCTACTTGACCATTAAAGTCACCGGCCACTATTACTACATCCGAGCGCTTAGCTTTTCGGAGAAGGTCCGAAAGCTTTCTGTAAAACTCATCTTTTACATCATCTGAGCTGCAGTCAGTGGGAGAATAGGCAGAGACGACGAAGAGGCAACGACGAGTGTCCCTATTTTTCCGGATTCTTACTGTTCCGTTCAGTCGGACAGAGCACAAACGACTGTCTACTGGGATCCACTCTAAGAGAGCTAGTTCTGCTCTAGGACTCAATGCTATACCTACGCCGGCGAGGCCACGGGAAGCAGGATCAGGGATTCCAGATACACGAAGCGTAAATCGAGTCGGTTCTTTATTTTGGTATGGTGAGGTCAAATGAATGACGCTACTTGGATCCTGTATGCGCGTTTCGGAGACGCAGCACACATCGATGGCGCGAGATTCTAAAGTTTTAGCTAAGGAAGCCTGCTGTTCTATTTGGCAAAGTGTTCGTACGTTAAAAGCTCCTACGTGTAGTTTAGAGCGTGGTTTCAGGAGACCAGGAATGGCGTTCCACGTACTCGAATCGTTTGCCCTAGCGGTGCGAGGTGATAAAGAGACGTGAGGAGGGTTAGTCGGGGAGATAAGAGAGGTATTAGGAGGTGTAGGAAGGATTTGAATGTGACCAACGTGGTCTCGTGTGCTGTTACGGGTATGAGGGTTGATGTCACTTTCCGGCTGCCCACACTGTGGAAGGGTGTTTGTTGAGGAACCTGAAAAGGAAATTGGATTAGTGTTGGTCTTAACGACCTGGGAGCGTGACCGCAGTGCCCAAGGGACAACTGCTTGAGGCCGGCCGCGCACGGCCTTTTTGTGGAAGGTTTTTGACGTGTTAGCTCTGTTCTTCAAAGGGCCTTACCGCCGGAGACGGAAATCCGTGAGGTGAGGTGAGGTGTGACATTTTTAGGGTCGACCTTTTCTAACCCCACCCTCCTTGTGGGAAGGCAGCATCGCTGCAGATGCTGGTTGTCCGAGGAAAACACCTTACTGCTGTCACACCTCTCTACAGTCAGCAGTACGACTTCGTCCTCAGACCTTGAGTTTCTGCTTTTAGTCTTATCGTTCTCTAATCGATCTGCTTGGCATGATAGAACCTGCAGGAACATGTGTTCCAGCCAATATAGCTCGGTTGAGTTATCATGATAGACAAGCCCGACCACCGCGTCGAGGTAGCAGCTGCGGTCAATAAAATACCTATTGTATACGACAGTGTTCTATGAAATCAAAATTCAACCAATCTACCTTATGGTCTTTTTGTTTACCGATTAAGATAATGATGCCGATGTGAATTAGGAACAATTGAATTATTAACTCAATTTGTATCATGTTTTAAACTTACGAAGATCCTGGACGGTATCCATGTTTAAAAAGGTTCTCTTCTTCGGTTGGTGGCTTCAAAGAAAGTGTTTTTGTACAGTCTCTATCACTTATTGTTAATTCATAATCTGAGCTCAACGAAATATTCACACTGCCCAAACTGATGTACATTTCTCCTAAATAGATAAATTATCATATACACAATAGCAACGTGTTAGTTAACATCAGAGTTCGGATACAGGACGAATAAAATTAGGCAAACTGGGTTTAAATATATGTACTAAAGGAAGCTAAAAAACGCTTTTGGAAAATTTTCCAAGTGGATGTAAAATATAATGTGAGTTTTGAGATTCTAGAATCAGTCTATCGAAGTGTCCTGATGGATAATTTTAAATAGAGTTTATGGGTTATACTGTAATGCTTACTATCGGCAGAATACTTACTTGCTTATTTGAGCCTGTTACTCCTCGTACAAAATAAGCCACCGGTCAGGAACCTACGGACAACCCTGAAATTGACTCTCCTTTACAGTTATTCTGGAGTCCTATTCATGCCCCAAATGACATCTGGTTTATTCTCTCGCACGTTAGGTTGGTTTGTGGCCAATCGATCTGGAGTACCTTCTCCAGATAGCGGCTTATAAATACCTATACTTCATTGACGATCGTTGTGATCGTCCCCGAGCTTCATCTCCGTACAATTGAGTTGTTTTAACATTTCTGATTGCGAACTTGGTTGGCAGACCTTTGATTTTCAGTTATGCTTTAACTGTAGGGATTCCAATCTCGCCTTTGAAATTCGTGACTCCACATCTGCATTGGAGTTTTTTTGTTTGCCAGTGATAATACTTAGGTGCGTAAAAGCTTTCACCTCTCCCAGAACGTCTCCATCAAGTGTGATTTGGGTTGCTGACCACAGTGTCACATTTCACGATTTCCTTTTTTTCTCGTGTGAACGTTAGAGCAAACTGTCTCAGGAGTTTCCACCACACTAATTATCTTTATTTGTATTTGATACTGTGCGTGTAATGTCAAGGCAAAGTCATCTGCAAAGTCAGGATTATGCAGACGCGTCTATGCTTTCCATTGTATCCCGTGATCCTAATGAGATGTGAAGGTCTTCACAATCTATTCGATAACGAAAATAAAGAGAAACGATGAGAGTAAGGAACCTTGTCCTTTACTGGTCCTTACTTTCAACGCATCTTTGAGCTGCCGTCCATGCATGATTTACATTACGATTCCTGGTAGGAGTTCTATACGATGCTAACATCTGTCACAGGTACTCTGTACAACTGAAAAGAATGACATTGACCTAGTACCTCCCAGTATGTTGAAGTTATAGCTTCATTAACACCAATGAAGTCGTTCTTGATAATTGTCTCATATCATTCTAAGAGGTTCTGTAAGGTTTTTAACTTGTTGATGAGAACAAAGAGGAATTCCCAGTACTTGTCAACATCTCGAAGGACAGCTATGCTAGCTCTTGTTCATGTCTCACCGTCTTCAGTTATGATCATTGCAGTCCTCTAGGCTATCATTTGTGGGTCCATAGGTCTGGCTGACATGTATTGCATGTTTATTGTGATTCCTGACCTCTAGCGATGAAGATATCCTGGGCGTGATTAAAAAGATATGTAAGTGATTGGTTAACTTGTTTTTGAAAATGTGTGCTCATTTGTTAAGAAACACTGGAGCGCTGCCAAATACAACATATTCAAGAACAAGTTGTCATTGTCCATGACAACGTTCAAAATAATGAAATTAGTACTTTGTAATTTATTTGCGTTCACAGTTTGGAGAAAAGGTGATCAGCCGACAAATATTTACACTTCGTATCACGTTTTGGAAATCAGCAACCAATAATTACCATCTTAAAGCTAATGATTTCAGGCAATTAATCCCTTTTAAAAATTTTGGTTATGTGATGAGATGAGGAGTATTGTCAGAAGTATGTGATAATATATTAGCGCGATACACTTCGAACGATCTGGTCACAAAAATACTTGTAAAGAACATCCGTGTATAAAAATGAAAGGTTAAGTAGACTAGAAATAGAGGAAGAGAGGAGACAGGTATAATAAAGAAAATAATAATGTGAAAACAACTTGAAAGCTAATTACTCTAGATAATAAGCTGATATTATCAGTGAAGTTTTAAGGTGAGAACAAACTATTTCTGAATGCACAAAGGGGGTTTGAAGTTTCGAATGGCAAGGGCTTAGTATACGCCCAATTACACTTTTGTACAACACCACAAGATCCGAGTTAACCTGCGACTTTCATTTTTGAAAGGTTGCTGGAATCCTTGCAAATAGATATCTGATCCCGTCTTGTTGGCAATATTTTTATTGATTCTCAGTGCGTTGGTTTGTGCTAGAGAAACTCTTGATTGTATAACCCAGGCTGTACCATTTGAGATTCGTTCAAATTGAACAGAGGTTATGTTTTAATACGATTTAATACGAGTTACTCAAAAGCGCTTCATGTGCAATGCAGAAGAACGTAATCTGGCTTAGTAGAATAAATTTTGCTTCATTAGTTCTACGCTCAGACCGAATATTAGTATTTCGGTCGCTACACACATATACTCTCATATAAAAGCAGTCATGGTTTATAAACAAATAATTAATAAGGTCAAGCAGAAGCTAGATTAATCTATGTATGTTTCACATAGTACTAGACACCACAGCTTTCATGATCCTTGACCCATGAAGATAAATATTGATTACCGTTGGTTAGAGTTTATGAACAATAAATTAAAACTATATGTCCACTCCATGCTGTAATGCATTGTTGTTAATAAGACAGTAAGTTTATAATTTGGAGTTATTTCAATTTATCTGACATCTTCGTTTAGCTAATGAAAATAATGAAGATAATTCGAATTAATGTAGTAGTTTAGAAGCTTTTTCGAATTTTTAGGAGAAGCAGTTAGATGATCAGCATGATTGTCCTTAAAACCTGTCGATATATTTATCGACACTTTACATTTACACGTACTATCAGATACTAATTGCTTGTTTATTCTCTGAAGAACTGACTTACACTGAGTCCTGAAACGTCAGAATATTTATACACTTAATCTTTCTACTCATTTGGACATCTACAAATACGTCATTTTTAATCATTATAATCTAGCCAATACTCAATAAAGTTTGATGGCGAATTCCGGTGAGTGGCCTATGCTCGCTTCTCCACGAGGGGCAACAGGCGTAAGTAACCCAATGTTTAATTCATTTGAAATTATCAAGTCAAACCTTACTGATGTTACTTATACATTCATAAACTGGGTAAACTTTTACATTTAATTTGATGTTTTATTAAAAATAACACATTTACCAGAATCATCAAATTTTATTGATGCTAAATATGTGTATGCTTCAAGCTTCATCATATTGAATGTGAATAAAAGAACTAGAGCAACGTTCATTGTGACCAGTTGTGATATCATTTCTAAAAGTTGAATAATAACAGAAAACGCTTTTATGATTTATTTAAGTAAAAGATATAAAGGAAATGTAAACGAGCAATTAAACCAATTACTGATTTGAACAGTTGAATTTTATAGTAGACTACCATCATAAACCTGGATTCATTGGACAACCGTTTCATTCAAGTATGGAACACGTCAGCAGTGCGCACCCACGATCACACACACGGGATCCGTACACAGAAAATTGAACAACACATGTGATAGTTGGATAAAGATAACAGCTGATGAATGCGGGTAACATGAGACTTTAAATTATGTGATGACTTTAATTTTGAGAAAGTCTTTTTACATTCACTTCACACTACGATGAGACATCAATTCTATGTTTTATTAAAAGACCTTAGTTGGTGTTCCGTACATTTTAAATGAAAGACAGTAATGATTTATCATTAGTAACCAAACACCATAAGAAGGCCCAGAACAGAGTGGGTTGGAGAACGCTGGTCGGCGGCCTATGCTCCATTAGGATTAACAGGCGTAAGTAAGTAAGTAAGTAAACCAAACACCATACTACTCGATGACATGGAATGTGTATAAAACTCGTCAATAATTAATTTTAATATCAGAATGTGTTTTGTGGAGATTTTTTAGAAATTTTCACAGATTGAAATCATGAGTCAGTTGAAGCTAGACCACCATTGAAAACCTGGAAGCACTGGACTGACTTCAGGAGACACTTCTGGAGTTCTAGTGAGAAGTCGTTACCAGTGGAGTTCAACCAGGTCTGTTGTGAGATAACAACTCACTGAAGACAATGGTGTACGGTAGCGCAACTTCGTGGATTGGTTGAAGTTAGACATTAACACCGTTGGATGCCGGCTCAGTGGTCTAATGGTTAAGTGCTCGCGTGCGAAGCCAGTAGGTCCTGGGTTCGAGCCCCGGGTGGTGCGGGTTCGTGGATGCGCACTGCTGAGGAGTCCCATACTAGGACGAAACGGCCGTCCAGTGCTTCCAGGTTTTCAATGGTGGTCTAGCTTCAACTGACTCATGATTTCAATCTGTGAAAATTAATTTTAAGGCTGTTGTTTCGTCTAACTAACTAGTTTCCAGATTAGTTTAAAATGGTCGATTTCATATAAGCCACTTGTTTATCACATGAATAGATTACTATCATTTATTTGTCATTGCATGACATAGAAACGCATAAACAAAGCGAAGTTTTAAGACTTATATGATAAACAAATTCAACGCTTCTGAATGATTAGTGATCTACCTGAGAAATTGACGAATGAAATTATCACCTGAAAATTCAATAGATTTACTATGTCCACTTTATAATGTTTCCTTTTTTCAAGTTAAATGTTTCTAATATACACAATTAGATGGTAATGGATCGCATAATCCTGCTGTTGATGTTTTAATGTAAGTTTGATCATTCTTAGTTGAATGTACTAACATACCAAACAGGTCGAAAAGCAAATCCTGGATTCCACCACTAATCACACTCGATCAATTCTATATGAAATTATGGAATCATGCCTATTTTGGGGCAGCTCGCACAGGTTAAATTATCTTCCAATCAAGACTGAACAAATTTCAACCGTGGAATAATACGAACAATTTCAAATTGAACCGAATCTCTTACATGTTGCACAAGTAAGCGGCTGTTTGAACTCAGTAGATAAATGCATAACGCAATGGAGTTTGAAGCAAACGATATGGGATACAAGATGCAGAAAGAACATCGACGCTGGAATGCAGGTACATCCGGCTGACGAGTACCATTTTGAACGAAGCATACTTCCTGAATTCATTGTTAATCATATTCCACCAAATATATACATTACGTTTTACATGAATTCACAAGAATGTTCTCCACTGCTCGTAGTTGGATACACTTGAATTTGTCTGTACTATTTTAATTTACATCCAGTAACATCAACTTCATTGGACTTTGCCCAGCATAAGGATTGTTCGTTATAATTAATCAAGGACTAATCTGTTTAAGTTATTCAGGCCAAAAAACTGAAGCAGAATAAAACGCTTTCGTCATATTTTGTGGTTTCTCATCAGCCGCTGACAACCACATATGTATTGGAATTTTAGCATTAATGTAAGGTATTACGTGAATTACTATTTTTCGTTACTGTCCGTGCTTTAATTATATTTTCAGTGGATGTGCACTGCTGAGGAGTTCCATACTGCGACAAAAAGTTTGTCTACTGCATCCAGGTTAGAGACCGTGATCTACATTACATCTACTTATGAATTTAACTATGAAAATCAATAAGTGATTGGATTACTCGTCTTCAATTCCTTTGTATCTTCTACTTAAATAAATCATAAAAGCATTTTCTGTTATTATTCAACTTGTAGAAATGATATCACAACTGTTCACAATCAACGTTGATACATCCCTCATAAATCCGCTTTTAGATAACAATCGTGTACTCACTAGTGAATAGATCGATTTGGATTTCCTAGAGTTCTAGTGGAAAGAAGTGATCAGTGGAGTACAATTCATGTCGATTGTGAGACAATTATACACTTCACACAACGAATGAAGGGTTGCGCAAGATCATAGATCGATTGAATCTAGACACTAACATAGTTGGATGCTGGCTCAGTGGTCTGGAGGTTATGCGTTCGCGTGAGAGACCAAAGGTACTGGGTTCAAGCACGGAGTGCAGCATCGTGAATGCGCACTACTGAGGTATTCAATACTAGTACGAAATGGACGTCCGATGCATTCACGTTTTCATTGGTGGTCTAACTTAAATCGACTCATGGTATTCGAATTCTTTCCAGCATCGATGTCGATTGTTCCACGTAATATCTCACCGTAACGTTACATTTCAATAGAGATATGGTTATAAGCAGCTGATGAGAAACTACAAAATGTGACGAATTCATTTTATTCTAGCCCGTTTGTTGTTTTGGATTCATTGTACTTCACAATGTTTACCGTCTTATGAAATTCTTAATGTTTAACTGTAGCTTTCACTTTTATCAGTAAGTCATATTTATGTAATGTGGTCATCAGTTTTCAAAACACACATCGTACTATTGAATAAATGTTTCGTCCACTATGGTGTAGCTCAGATAGTTTGCATGCTGAATCATTATGTGGGTATATTATGAATATTGTATTTCGGATTACAGATAATAGACTATTAACCATGAAATAATAGATGTAATTCGTAGACCAGCATGGAGTATGAAGGATCGTTGATGATTTTTTGGATATAACATCTGCCTCGAAAAGAAATCTGTCTATTTTAAGTCTTTAATATTAAGTCTCTTACTCCAACAAACAAGTAAATAAGGACTGTGCTAGTGTTCCAGGGAGAGATGTCATTCAGATGGTATTAAATGCACAAAACATGCCGATGGAATTCAAATAACATCACTAAACAATAGACCATTAATAACTTACTTCAAATAAATAAGCTTTGTAACATACGTATCTAGTAGTTGGACACGCTTTTTATGCAAAATGTCAGTAAAACGAATCATTAAAAAAGAGTTATCACATGTATATTAACCAATCATATCTCTAACAAGATCAACCATTACCTGAATGTAACTACATAAACTATGAATAGATGTAGAGCAGATAAATTTTGTGACATTTTGCGACACGTACTAAACGCACTAAGTAGCATGTGAATTTTTATCCAGATTATAATTTCAATTTGTGATTAGATTATTAACTGTTGCAACATATTTTGACTACCGAAACTGTTCACAGTTCTTGGTGAATGGTCTTGTAAATCGACTTTTAACTTTGATGGTAAATTTAAAACAATTAGTCCCTTTGATAAATTTTGGTAATGTGATGAGAAAACAAAAATTATCAGAACTATGTGCTGATATATTGAGGTAATAAACATAACGAACAATCTGATCACTCACAATATACTTGTTAAGAACATTTATATATAAAACGTAGAATGTCAACTAGACTATAAATGAAGGGTAAAAGGAGAGAAGGTTAATACAGAAAATATCAATGTGAAAACAATTTGAAACCTCATCACTCTGTATATTACCAGGGTAGGTTTAAGGTGAAAACAAACTGTTTTTGAAAACACAGAGTGGGTTTGAATTTTTATATGTCTAAAGCTTCAATAAACCTTGCTATATACCTTTTTACACCTTTGTACAAAATCACAAAAGCCGAGTTAACCATTGATAGTTTGATGATTACCTCAATCTTTGTCCTTTCCACTTTCAGCGTCCATTACTAATTTTCTCCCCAGCTGGAAGTTGGTTTGTTCTCTCCTACAGTAGGTTGTTGCTGATGATGTCCAACGGGTGAACAATGAGTATCTTACGTAGACCATTGTTTAGATAAGCTTGCACCATTTTGATGATGTTTGTGATAGTTCTCCCAAAGAACTGTCTTGACGTTCGTATTGAAGATTCTGACTTTGATGTTGGCTTGCATACAGTTGTTTGGGGTTCTATACGTTCTTCAATCCTCTTCGTTCATCGATGATGCTATCCAGGTAAGAGGACGTTTCCACATCTTCCAGGGCTTTTCCATCGGGTGATTGTGTTGGTGTTCACTGTGTTGTATTTGAGGACCTCGCTTTTTTCCTTGTGTATGTTGAAGTCTACTGATGCAGAAGCTACAGCTACACTGTTCGTCTTGACTTGCTTTTGTTGACGTGTATGGGATAAAACGGCCAGGTCATATGCGAAGCCCATGTCGTACAGTTGCATCTGACCAGTCCATTGTATTCCGTACTTCCCCTTGAATGTCGAGGTCTTTATAATCCAGTCAACCACCAGAAGAAAGAGGAAGGATGAGAGTAGGCAGCCATGTCTGACTCCGGATTTCACATTTTAGTGGCCCGTGATGTGACTTCAATTATATCATATGTTTGATTGTTATTGGTAATATACATACGGCCGATCCTCATATATTTGATAGAATTAAATCGGTTTGGTAAATAATGGAATGAAATAAGACAAATACGAGAATGGATTTTAGGATACATATATTTTGTACACCCACTGATCTGGACAAGAAATGAGAGTGATGAAGCGAAAAGAAGAGAGCGAAGCCAAATGACGCGCAGTGGAGAAGGCGTGTGAGCTAATTCCATTTAATCAGGCGTTAATCAATATTTATAGTCACACAAAAATAAGCTACTGACATGTGATGAGTAGGATAAGATGTACACATACACACTCAGTCAGGTTTGATAATTGAATAATTAACAAAGTCAAAACGTGACTCAAGAAGAATGAATAAGTTGGCCTATCAGGAAGCTAGAATAATTTATATGGGTTTAACATAATAATTGACACTACTACTTGTAATGCGTCTGTCAGTTGGCTTCCATTGACCACTTTGCACTGTAGTCCGTCGTATTAATCCGTATGATGTTGACGATTTCCTCAGGCACACCATAGTGTCGAAGAAGATTCCATGATGTTCTCCTATCCACACTGTCAAATGCCTTCTCATAGTCAGGAGATTGATGTATGGTGATGAACCCCATTCGATTGATTGTCCATCAGCGATCGGTAGTGTCGAGGTTTGATCTGTGTACGACCGATCCATGCTAATTTCAGCCTGATGATCTCGAAGTTGAACTTCTGCTGAATGTTTTATCTGGTTCAATAATACTCTTTAGAAAACCCTTCCTGATACTGTCAGTAGTGTGTTACCTCTGTAGTTCTCACATCTGCTTATAACTCCTTCTATCAATATCATGATGAGCTGTCCTTCTTTCCAGTATGTCGGTGGCAGTTATTCTTCCTACGAAATCTTCCTGAATGGAACGTAAAGCATGTTTTCAGTAACTTCTCTGTCTGATTTCAGTGCTGCAGCTGGTATATTTGTCTGATGGCCATCTTGATTTCTTCGATCGTTGGTGGATTGACATAAACAGGAAGGTCTGTATGTGATGATGAGTTGGAAATAGTCCTTGTGAATGGGTTAGATGCTCGAGATTCAGAGCATTCAGCTATCTTGTCTGTCCTACGAGGACTACTAAGGGCGACCTCCTGTGTATGTGAAGTGTTAAGGTTGTGATATGTAGTCATGTATTCTGTAAGTGGATACCACACATAATAATACTATCCATTGTAGATATCAACAATCATTCAATAAGAACATAACATGACCTTAATTAGGGTACCCTCAACAAAATTGTTTGATATTTCGGTTTAATTGTTTTCACCCAATGTATTCACAATAGTCCGGTCATTCTATAGTACTAGCTAATCTTTTTAATAAGTGTGTATCACATATTGCATAGAAAAAATCAAGTTTAACTGCTAGTAATTTGTATGAGTTACTGAATTAATGATATTTAAACAATGTAGCGTTTTATGTGTGATAACTCAGTTTCCTAGGCAGAGTGACCTATTTAATGCTAAGCAGTTGACCTATATGAGTACAATTGTATTCGCACATTACATAAACCAGTACATGATTAGATTACATGATTCATTTGATGTTGTAACATAAGGGTTATTTTCACTTGTTGTTGTTTAGGGTAAACTATAATCATGATAAAATTGTGTTTAGTATGAGTGACCTTTTTTTAATTTCTTCCGATTCATTTATATGTACAGTGTATTCACTATTAGTGTTTCATTATTGTATTATAGGATTTTGGTATAATACATAATTCAATTCATTTACGGAACAGTTGACTACTGAGCAGTTTTAAATGTCTTTTATTTTAGATCTCATTTATACATCTGGAAACTAATTTGACATTTAAGCCATATTCCAATATCAGAAGGCATTTTGTAGAGGTTGTAGTAATTTCAATAGTTGAGACCATGAATCAATTGAAGCTAGACCACCATGGAAAACCTGGAAGCATAATAGGACGAAACGGCCGTCCAATACTTTCACGTTTTCTATGGTGGTCTAGCTTCAATCGACTCATAATCTCAACTACTGAAATATTCCAATATAGTGTTAGTGGGATAATCTAAAAATAACTATATTAGGTAAAAAGTAATTTAGTCTAGTGTCTACATGACTGATGATAATAAAAATTACTATTCTTTTCAGTTTAAATATTTATGTCCCAGTATCATCTCTTGCTCTTCTAGGGTTGCTGCCAGTCTCAAACTATCCGGGTAAACGAGGAGGGTTGGGCATGTGGTTAGCAACCGTATCCCGTAGAAAACAACCATGATATGATATTGTTATTAACTAATGAATCATTTCAATCAAAACAGTCGTATTATTTGCTGAAACTATGATTATGACAGCTTGATACAGTGAAATTATAAATCTATCTAAATCTTACTGAATTGTTCATCAGATTATGAATATATTGTTATTTGTTTTCGCAGACACAAGTCAAATAATTCTAACCGAATACAGCATTGAATGATCGTCTGTGTTCCGTCTGTTTAGGTGACCAGTTATTATTTCAGATTCAAGTTTATTATAGATCTGGAGTAGAAAACCATGTTTTATTACTTGTCGTTTTTAGAGTTTATTTTTATGTCCAAAACAATACTCCATAAAACGGTTGTAAGTTATAAATGTTAAGTTGATTTCATGTGAATGATTAACAGGAGAAACCCTATCATTAGAAGAAGGAGGAGCTAGTTTTATGTGTTTGTTAGTGTGTATATTTAAAGGAAGAAAAAAACATCGTTTGACTTTAAAAAGTTCTTGCTTGAGTATATTTTAGAAAAATGACGGGTTGTTAGTATAAACTGGCATAAGTAGAGAGAACTATAAAAGATCAATGAATGTAAACTATGAATTTTTGTCTGGACTTTTCTAATGATAATCTGGTGAATATTTGAGAAACATTCATACACTTATTTCTTATGATCATCTTGAAGGGAGTATAAATGAAGAGCTGAACAGGATAATATCAATTTTGTTCAGTTCTTGTCAGCTGATTACAATCGATTATATGATAAAATTGAAATTATCCCAGAAGTTGATGTTGTGTATATAAGTGAAGTTGATTAGAAATGATTATGATTATCATGATGAAGTGAAAATTTCGAAAGAGCTAATAAAACTGAGAAAATCGTATTAGATAAATATCGTGCGGAATTAAAACTGTAGTCGATTGTATAATGAAATAAATAGACAAAATGATATTAAGGAATAACATGATTTGAAGATAGGTAATTAAAAACAGGATAATAAATTCGAAGGGAAGAAACATGATATAATGAGAGCAAAAGGAGCTGTGACCAGTGAAGTCCAACAATTATACCCTTCATACAGTAAATGAACGGTTGCGCAAGATCATGGATAGCGGCTCAATGATCTGGAGGTTAAGAGTTCTCCTGCGAGACCGAAGGTACTGGGTTCAAGTTCACTATGCGTTGTCGTGTTTGCACACTCCTGAGGTGCGCTATACTAGGAAAAATTGTTCATTCAGTGCTTTCAGGATTTTAATGGTGGTCCAGCTCATATCGGCTCGTGAATTCAACTATATGAGGAAATCATAAGTAAATAAATAGCACAATAAAATCAACTCA